AGAGAGGAAGATGGCCATCGAAACCAAGGCGACAAGAGGTAGCGAGAGGGGACAAGGTGGAACGGTGATTTTGGATGCAAGGGTTTGAATGATATAGAGTTTTAGAACGATAAAATCGGTTTAAAGTTTATTTTACATCAAAATCTTTCTAGCCGTTTACAAGTAGTTTTTTTGGGTTAACAAAATATATAGGTAGCCAATTTTTAAAAATTCGATAGTTTATTTATTACACATAAATGTTCAAGAAGTTTATCATTCAAAATTAGAAAATTCAATGGTTTATTCATTCAAAAAAAATAGTTTACGAACTTATCATGCAAACATGAAAGTTCATTGGGTTTTTTCAACGTTTCCCAATATAATATTCATAAAGTAGCAATTTTACAAGTTGTTAAAGTGTTACTTTGTGAATATTAGATTCATAAAACTTAGATTTCACAAACTGTTAAAGTGATACTTGCAAAATCTTGTCTATTTCAATCATTTAAGTAGAAACTCGGTTATAAAATAAATTTGATGGTTATTTTAAACACTTTCCTTAAAATACGTAAATAAACTTGAGATCATGTGAGACCAAAGGTTTTTAATGAAACCCGTAAGACTAATTATTAACCCTTGGATTAGATCTACAATTTGAACATTCATAATCACAAAATTGTCACGAGACTTCTCAATAATCACAAAATTGTCACCGTGCAACTTTAGACCATTAGATCATTAACTTATAAAGTTGATCAATGAACATAAATTGATTTTACGTGAATCTAACTCTACATAAATATTTATCAAATATAATCTCTTGAGCGACTAATTATATTATTAATGAAATAAAAAAATATTTTATTTTCTTTCTAGAAAATAGTGGAAGTGACTACAGGAATAGATAAATGGGCCATAGTAGAATCTGATGAGACTTCATTTATATACTTTTTTGTACAATCAATTTTTCTGAATCATTAAGTCTTTAATTCTTTTTTTTTTTAATAAAAACTATTCAACTTTCTTAATGATTAAGTAATGAAATATTATTTAATAAATAAACCACCACATCCAGTTTTACCTTTACCACCATCATTACCTTTACCACATCGACTATAACTACCTCCACCTTACTACCATTATCCACCATCTTCACGTCCTCCACAACCACCATCACCCACCATTCATCAATGCTTCTATCTCTACAACCATTGTTGTTGCTATAATCTTCACCGTGTCTTTGGGTATTGATAAGGATCTTACATACTGAATAAAATATAATTTCTCATTTGTACGAATCGGGTTATTTCAAACTAACATCGATTATATCAAACTTTTTATTCAAATTTGGCACTATTATATATACGTGTGTATTTATGCATATGAAAATTGTGTGAATCTTTTTGTAAATTAAATTATTTACTTTATTTGTGTTAATTATAACTGTTATATGATATATATATATATATATATAAAATTATCAAATAATTTTTGGAGACAACTTGTCTAGTTCTATCATATTCAGTCATAGTCGTACCAAACACTTGTTATATTCAGTCATGTCTCGTCCAATTCTAAGCTCTTATCTTTATCCGGACATTCATATCTAGGTATCAAACGTTATCTAAAGGACAATACATGGCTTGAAGGAACTATTTCCCTTCAATTTCCTTTTCTTTTCATTTAAATTTTAAACAAGCTTTCATTTATTTAGTCTTTTTTTTGTACTTATTATTTTATCTATATTATATTATAAAATATTTGATAAAAACTTTTAAAAATCATTTTTATTCTTGAAGTACTGTATATTGATGTATATTACTTAAAATTCAAGATTACAAGTAATTATGCACAAATACAACTTATTAAAACTTCATGTTTGAATTCGTGTAACTAACTACGGATAAATATAATCAAATAGAGGATAAACATCTCATTTTAAAATATAAAAAATCTAAATATAATTAGGATAATTAACGAGTTCTAACAAAATAATTAATTATTATTTTTATAAGAAAGTTATATTATTAAACTAAATATAGATTACTTTGTTATTGAACTTAAATTAAATTATAATAAAAAAATTGAATTAAAAATTACACAAAAAATAAGAATTTTAAATAGTTAATTTGATACTAATATCAATATATTTTTGTCAAAACTTTAAGATACCTTCAAATTTATATTTTATTAAAAAAATCGTCGCTTTTTTAAAATTACATAAGACTATATTATAACATCGACTAAGATAAATAATAAAATAAATATGTATCTCGCTACATTGCGCAAGTACCCTTTTAGTATTTTATAACTCATTTAAAAAAATATTTATATTTTAAGCTCATGAGATTTTTAACTTCGTTTTGAGACCAAATATTAAATGATGGGGGCGGCGAGGGGGAGCGATGTCATTAGATGCGAAGGGTTTGAATGGTGTAAAGTTTGAGAATAATAAAATTGATTTAGATTTTTTTTGGATAATATCTTATTAAAATACATTTTAACATCTTTAATTGGGTCATTTCAAATACATTTTAAGTATTTTTCTAAATCTTTTTTACACAAAAATGTTATACATGTTTTTTTATATAGCATTGGAACACTTAGGGGCCGTTTACCCAAATGCTTACTCGGTAAGTGCTTACCAGTAGGAATCAACATTATAATTTATTTTTATCGGATAAGATTGTAGTACATCAAAACGGTATCCTATGCAACAATTTACCTAGTAAGCGCTTACCCTGGTAAGAGTCGTCATCCTCACTTACCGTGTAAGACTCTCCACCATAATTGTCGCTCTTACCAGGTAAGATTCTTAGTCCTTGTTATGTTAATCCGGTGAGGAAAATTGTCCTGTAAACACTTACCAGGTAAGCGTTTAGTAAATGGCCCCTTATAAGAAGAAAAAAATCAAAAAAAACTTGAAAAACTTAAAATAAAAAACTTGAATATTTTATAGAAAACTTGATATATAATATATAAAAACTTAATTTTTTAAAAAAAATTGGGCTTATGTATAACCGATCGTTCGTTTCTGGTCCCAAACGAGGCCTTGAATTTTCCTAGAAACACATACCGCTCCTGGCTGGGCCCATTTTGAAAACTTGATATATTGTTTAGAAAATGAGCGACACAAAAATACCATAAAAATTTGACAAATTTTATTATATGCATTATTAATCTTTTTTTAAAAATAGAAAACTAAAATCTTAAAAAAAGATGTGAATTTTATTCATACCTCCTCTTATACAAGCTATACGAGTGAGATAGGGAGGTAAGAACTAAGGGGTGTTTGGTTCACAGGATTCCGACGGAATTGAAATGATCAATTCCGTTAAGAAAATTTCATTCAAACGTTTGGTGTACCTATGGAACGGAATTGAATTTCACACATTCCATTATTCATGGATTTGATCATTCCATTCCATCATAATTGAGAAGGAATTCAATTCAATTCTATTCCATTTTTTCCAATACAATAAAAGCTTCATTTACTTATAATTTAAGAAACAAATTATTAAAAAATATCTTAAAAAAGGTATTTTGGTCATTTATTGATTACTCATTCTAAATCTGAAGCTACATTCTATCAACCAGACACATAGATTTCATTGAAATTCATGTCAACCAAATGCACGATCAAATTCTATTCCAATTCCTTCAAAGTCAATAAATATATAAAACAATTTTTCATATAAAAAACGAAAGACAAAGGCAATAAATATAATCTATTTTTTCTTTCATTCTCATATTTGGGACTTGGGAGGAAACATATCATTTATGTTTTTCTTTTTATGAACATGTGTTTATTACTTTCTGTTTTCACTTCCTTCATAAAAATGTTTCAAGAACACAGTGTTAGTGGAAACACATGTGGCATTTTTAATATTCGAAAAACGTGTATTTTTAAAAGAAGAATATAGGATATACCGACACACTTTTTTTCCATGTCCGGGATGTAATATAGTTGGTTATGAAGTGATGTACGCTATGTTTGAATTTGGCATCTCGAACTTGCCAACTCGGGAGACGGTTTCTTTGAAGATTGAGTTCCTTACAAACATTAAGCTCTTAGATCAGCTATGAAACCATATATTGTATGATAAATCAAGTGCATGAATTTTTCAAATTATCTGCATAACATTTTTCCCATGATGAAATTTAACAAATTTCATATTTCAGAAAATAGTTTGATCTTCTATATCAATATTATTTTCACATATAAACCAATATGAATATCCATGGACTTTGAAAACATCATTTCCTCATGCGACTTTGTTTCACATCATGAAATCCAAGAAAGGGATTGAATTTGAATGAAATTCAATCACGTGTTTGATTGACAATAGCATCAATGAAATCTATTTGTTTTGTTTGTTAAATATAAGTTCAGGACTATAATAAAAAAGTGATAGCAGCTGTGAGGACGACAGGAATGGCCTGGTAGTTTTGATGATGGTGGGTGGGGTGGGCGGGGTAGGTGGGACGGGCTGGGGCAGGTGGCTAGGTGTTAGTTGTGACGACAACAATGGTTGAATGGTGGTCGGGTGGCAGGGGTGGGTCGTGGGGTTGGTGATTGAGGTAGGTGTGACAACGACAGTAATGGCATGATGTTGGAGATTAAGAAGGTGGCAGTTGTGAAAACGACAATAGTAGTGTGGTGGTGATGAGGGTTGGGGGCGTGCCTATGACAGGAGTAGCATAGTTATGGTGGGGGCAGAGAGTGTAAGAGGGGGCGGGAGGTGTTAGTCAAATTGGACGCAATGGGATGTAATTCAATTCTTCATTTATGCCAAAGAACGTGGAATTCCTTAATTTGTGGAATTTAATGTAAGCTTACATTTTCATTATGTGAACGAAACAAATAAATTAGAATTTGGTCAAAAGAATTGATCAATTCCAATTCCCTTAAAATCCTTTGAATTCCATGAACCAAACAACCCTTAAGTCTTAGATTGTGGTTAAGGCATTTCAAGTGTTATATACTGGTTTCATTTGGTTAGTAGCCACATGTGTCCATTGCAACATTCATATGACATGAATCAGCTTACTATCAAACATACAAACAACACAGAAACCCGAAAAACTGGTTTCCCTTTTCCGATATCTAATGTCTTCCAACAAATGGTTTTATTTGACCTAAAATTTACCAAATAAAGACGTTCTTTAAATGAAACTTGGCAAGCGGAAGGATCAACTTACTACATAATCTCAGCCGATTTCAGACGTCTTTCTTCTGTTCTTGGTACTCTATGTCGTATGCTTCCTCATCATCGTCATCTTCATCTTCACTATTCATGTCATAAATACTGCTTCTCATCATTCTCAGGTCACTTCTACCGTCATCTTCACTCAGAAACTCCCCGCCAAATTTGATGTCTCGGTGCTTGACCAACAGCCAGCGTAAGAGGCGGTCTTCCTTGTTCAGATAATGGAGCTCACTGTTAAAGCTTGGTGGGGTCATCATTGTCATTTGCATCATTTGACCCTATGGCATCAACAAGTTTTCCGCAATTAAGCACGGGTTAAAAGTTTCACACTTTCACTTGGCGGGTTTTCAAATGAAAATCTTATGTAAGCAAAAAAAAGTATACATAATTCAGGTAGTGTAGCCAGAAACACAGAGCAAAGCAGAATAAATAAGGAGAAGGATTATGGGTCCAAATAATGGCAATGATCAAAGGGCCATTTACAGACAGCACACCCCTGTGTGTGTGTGTCTGGCTTGGAGAAGCGCTGGTTGCTTTAACAATTTGGGTAACTTGCACTTTACCCTCATGCTATGCTGTTAAATGCACCACTATAGCCGTGCTATCATGGTTAGCTGTCATGGGACAAATAGTGGGTCCCGTGATTAGCTGCACTATTGACCGCTAAATGACTGCATTTTGAGCGCAAAAAAATGGCCGCACAACATAGATGAGTCATTTTGGTGTTAAAAAAGTAATTTTGTGGGCTTTTATTTTGGACCTGCACTTGGTTTATTTAGTCCAAGTGTCCAACAATATCAAGGCTTCATTATTCTTACTTTTTTGGACTTGGACACCATCACTTTGACCTCTAGAGTTGAATAAAAGTATTCACATTGTTCAATTATTTGTATTTAGATTTAGACATCATTGTTCTTACATATTTTTTATTGAATACATATAATATGTTGAGTTATGAATGCATATATATAATTCTAATTATTATATGAACTGCTATTCGTATATAATATGTTGAGTTATATTCACTATCGCAATAACCACTATTTCAAATCACGATCTTGACAGTGAATTCATATTTTGACCATTGTGACAGCATAGCCCACATGTATCACTGGCCTAGAAGAGCCCTTGTACTACAGAAAGTGGGCATCATATGACACAAAACACTATAAGTTAATGTCAAAAGGTATATATGTCGAACTAACGATTATAGACAATTTGGGTCAATTTCATTGGTTCCTTCAGACATTCATCAAATTTTGTTTCCTGAACAATGTACAATAGCAATTCATGTACTTTGATTTTAATAGGTGTCAACGTGATATTAAATGACAAAACCACACATACAGTTGGGTATTTGTTATATTCACTCCATCCCGTAATTAAAATCAACTTCCAAAATTTAAAGAAATTTATGGAGAAGCTCCACCCGACAGTTTGCCCCTGTTTAGATACAAATTGCTGAAACAGATATTGCCCATTTTCTTATCGACAGCAACAGACCAACCAAATGGTCTATCATTAAGTAGCAACCCCATAAAATATTCTCCTTTTCTTTGTCAAAATTTCTAATATTCTGCTAAGCGGTAACCCCATAGGATGGTCTCGTTTCTTTTTATAGCTCAAGTTCTCTGTGAACTTCTCAATCGAAAGAGAGGATGTCTGCACTGCAGAGTTTATATGATTAAGAGAGAACACAAAGGCTGAGAAGTAATGACTATATTGATTAGAATACTTCCATCTTAATCCTTCATGAGACAGGGGTTGGCTATTGGGGATAGTTGGTGGTGGCAGCAAGTTAGGGTGGGGTGGAGGTTTTCTGGTGGTGGCAGGTCTGAACTGAGGAGACAAGTAATGGAGACAGCAGTTGTCTGATTATCTCAAAGGACCGACAACACAGGGTTCTTTTCCTTTCCTTTTATTCTGTGTGTACATTCTTTTAACATAAAAAAAGATAGCAGCAACAGTTTTTATGCAGCATTTTTCCAATTTTAAAAGGGTAATTAAGACCAAGAACTGTATGTAAGCATATTAACATTCAACATAGGAATCTCTTCCCAGAACATAGTAAAAATGCAAACCAATGAGATGAAGCAAGTCTAAAACAAATACCCCCTCTCCCCATTCCTCAAAAAGCAGGACAGAATAGAAAGGAAGCAACAAAGAAATGCATATCGGATTTTTTGGTCAAAACCTATTTTACATGAGATACTTGAGAAATGCATATCATTTTTTTGTTCTAAAACAATTTCACATGAAATACATATTATTTATTTACTTTTTCAAAAACCACAATTACGACATTATATATCAGTCCTCCTTGTATGTTTCAAGTAGATGGCTTATTTCTTTAAAATTTGATTCATATTAATAATGCATCCACAAAGTCTTCTCTCTTTTTTGATGTGGAGGAAAACATTTTTCACCAAGGAAAAAATAACTAGCACAAAAACAATTTCAAGACTAATATCCTGCCAATTTCCACAAGATCAAGTTGGCAACACCTAACATATAAACTAGCAAATAGAGACCTACTAAGTTGAATAGTGTTAAAGCTCATGATAAATACAGGAAATGAAAATAATTTACCTGATAGTATCTGCCATCAAGCTTCTTAATACCATAACCCAACTGAACAGTCCCATGCGATTTTAGATCAGTGATAACACCATTTCTTCGATATACATGTTTCCCAACTCGAGAAACCAATTCTACAACTGATTCTTTTCTCACATGAGGCTTCAGCAATAGCATACAATCATAAAGTGGCATCTTGCACTTTATCCCCTTTCTGAAACCGGATTATGGACCATGTAACATATACTAATTTCCGTCTTCATACGGACACAGAAACGAAAGGAAAATGTTAGAGGCAAACAACAAATTCAACCCACGTATCATGTATAACAAAGTACAAATTGGCGATTGATGATACACTCCATAAAAATCTACATCTTTTAGAGGTCAAATGAGGTTCCTTCATTTCTTTTCAATAACTAGAAAACGAGAACATTGGTGCTAAATTTTCAATATAATCCTTATGAATTTGTCATACGAGAGATTCAACATTTGACATAAGAAACTAAAACGGATCTTCCATTTCCTTTTTCTGGAACGAAGATAGTGCCGCTTGTCGATGGACATGAAAAATAGAGACAAGCAATGAACTCAACCTATGTGACTAAGCACGTGATTCTGTCAAGTCGATGATCGAAAAATCGTACAAAGCATACTGTCGATTAGATCAAGTGTGCTGAATGTAATCTAAAGCTGAAATCTAATAGGATTCATACCTTTGATTGCGAAGGACCTTATGTCGACGTTTATGGAGCTTCGTCTGAGATTATTTATCTAGGGTTTTGAAGTTCAGGCGGAGTAGCAATGGCGGAGTGATGCGATGCCAAGGGTTATGCATTAAAATTGTATTTCTATTATTGTTTATAGAAATATTTTCATAAAACCCCTCCAACTTTCACCATATATCTTATTTTATCCTTTATCTCACCTGATGCATATTTCGGGTAAAATATACAAAAATAACAATCAAACAAAACCAACCAATGTTTTCTCCGGGGTCCGTTTGGTTTGCATGATTGATTTTGAATGATTTGAATTTGGAGGAATTTTGATTAAAATGGATTTGAGTAATTGTTGTGCTTGGTTTGGTTTGTAGGATTTAGAATGAAATTGGATTTTATTATTTATAAAAATAATTAAATTACATTTTTATTTTTCGATAATAGCAAAACATATGTTTTTAACATTTTATAAAACCTTATTTCATACAATCCTACGAAATCCCAAGCACCCCCAAGGATTTCAAAATCCTATGTTTGTAGGATTTTAATTAAATATTACGATTTCAAATCCGAACAGTCTAACAAACCAAACATAAGATTGTAATGAATTTGAAATCCAAATCCCCTCAAATCCAATCCATTCCTATAAAGCAAACGTGACCTAACTATTTTCTTTGCATGATTGGGAGGGAGGGAAAGAAATATATATATATATATATATATATATATATACATACATACATACTACCTTATAAACCAGATTTATCAAAAGTCTTAAAAACAATTTTTAATGTATAAAATACTATACATTTATGCACAAAATCTTAAAAGTCTTAAAAACAACTCATAATGCATTAAGTACTACTACATTATGCATTCAATCTTAAAATATCTTAATATACAATTAAAATAACATATAGTACAACCCAAGATACTTTTGACATCTTTCACTCATGCCTTTATCCTCTCATACCTCTATGTCTTCATCCTCTCATACCTCTATGTCTTCTCCCCATTCCCCAATGTGAGATTCAAATTGATATTCACCATGAGTTATTAAAAGTTCTCTCATTCAATTGTTCTAGAACTCTCGGTCTCACTCTCGATCTCTTGATTTTTTGCTCATGGAGTAAATCAAACACATGTTTGGAGTCGTTTAAAAATGTTGGATTTTAAATATATTGGATTTTAAACTGTCATACAATTTTTTTCATTGATAGACTATAATTGAAACCACAACTATTATTTATTCAAATTGTATTAATATGTAAAGTCGAAGTGTAACTTATATCATCGTTAAATCTTCTCTAATAAACTCAGTGAAACTTCAAAATCATTAAAATTCACGGCTCCCGCTGAATTACACGGATACACAACTAATATATATATATATATATATATATATATTATTGAGTAGAAGAAAAAAGAAAATGAATATGTTATTTTAGAGTTATATTCTTATTTATTTTATAAAAGATGATAATATATTGATAGATGTGTAATTTTACTAGTCAAGTGTTATATGTTGGTTCCGTAAGTCATATTTTTTAACAACCAACATTTGATAAAAAAAAATTAAATACCATATGACTCCCAAAAGAAAATCAAAGGCACCATATTGCACATTGTATCATTGTCATTTATTATAACTTTTAAAATGATATGCGTTTAAAAATTAATGAACAAATATCACAATTAAAATGGGAGGACTAAACATATATAAAATCCTAAACCAAACCAAACCAAACCAAACCAACCCAATCCAATCTAGATATATCAACCCAGATATAGGATGTGCGGATTAGAGATCGGAGCCATATGGCGTCCACCCACAAATTTGGAAAAATGTGACAAACATGGTATATAGGTAGGGTTCTGGTGAGAAGGGAAGTTATGGTGAGATGAACAACCGCCGACCATCATCGATCTGAACCATCGTCGACTATCACCGATCTGAACAACCATCGTCGATCTGAACCACATCTGACCACCGGTCCACCGCCACCTGAAGCACCACAGACCACCACTGATCTGAACCACTACCGACCACCGGCGACTACCACCGATCTGAATCACCACCGGACACCGCTGACCACCACCGCTCTGAACCAACGCCTCCACCGATCTGAACCACCGCTGACCACCTCCATCTGAACCACCATAGATCTAAACCACTGCCAACCACCACCATCTGAACCACTGTGGACCACCACCGATCTGAACCATCGGCGACCACCGTTGATTTAGTTTCGTTGTTTGGCTTATTATTATATTTGGGTTAGTTTATATTGTTTTACATATTAAATAATTATTTTATTAAAATATTTTTAGTTTAAAAAGAATTAAAATTTTCAAAAAAGGGCATTTTGGTCATTTAACAATATTTCATTCTAATTCCAAAGCTACATTCTGTAAACCAAACAGACAGATTATATTCCAATGTCTGCCAACCAAACAGGTGGTTAAACCTGACAACATTCCATTCCAATTCCTTCAAAATCAAATTTCTTTAATAGATTCCATTCCAACCAAAAACATTCTACGAACCAAACACGTTAATTCTATTTATAAGTAAACTTCTGTCATTTTGCCAGTGGAATTTTGTCCCTATTAAGGTTTCTGAAATCTCTAATGTTAAGAGCACAATCCTGATTGAAAATCCTGACTCCATCCCTTCAAGTAGGATGTATTTCAATTGGAAAAAAAAAATCAGAGACCCATGGACAGTTGACTCCATGGCTAACCTGAGTGGAAGTATACATCCAAAAGCAAAAATAATTTTCTACAATATGAGATGAATATAATGATACATACAATTACAAAGAAGATTGAAAGCTCATATACCTTCTTTAGTAAGCATTTTTCACAGTAATTGGAGGAATATATAATCAATCATCCCTTTCCACTCCTATAAATAGCAAAATGTACATTTTACAGGAGATGTATCCATATGTCCTCCAATCTTATGTCTGAAGCAAGAGATTTACTGAGCAAGTTATATCTCATATTCAAACAGGTCTGTTCATGATAGCGAGCCAACCGTTTTCTTTCAAAAAACATGTTTCTATGCGGATAGTATACCGTTCAAGAAACCCCTGACAAGAACATCACCGCAAATCAATCAAAATTTGGATGTGTATCAATAGCTTGAAGACACTGAGCAAGTGAGATTTTATTAACTGTGGATGTTTGGGCCGATTTGCATGCACCTCAGCTAATCCCATGGGATCCTAATGTTAACAGCTAGACAAACCCTCTAGTTGCTCTAAAGGGACTTGAACTGGTGATCTCTGGGGAGCAAATATAAGGTTATACCGGTAGAGCTACCCCTCAAGGTCTTACTAGTTAAATCGTAGTAGGCAACGATAATTCTTATGGAGATACCAAAAAGAACACTATAGCTTTCAAGAATATCTATTTGGCAAGTTTTATCTATAATTGCTTATTTTGGCAAAATATAATGTTTCATTTGCATGTTAACTAGAATAATAGTTTGTTTATAGCGAAACCAGTATAATGGTTCGAATAGTTAATATTCAATGTGAAAATACTATGGAATCTTACCAGAATCCTGAAGCTTTCTTAGCTTGATCTCTGAAAGAAGGAGGTAAGAATGTGATCAATACAATGAAAGGGTTGTTGAAGGTAGATATGTGTATTTATATGGTACCTTGTTTTTCCTTCAAATGCATCGTTGACTTCATCACCAGTTGGCCTACTAGGAAACGTCGACAAAATGACATATTTCTCTTTCCCAGTTGGCTCATTTACTCTCTTGAACAGCTCATATCGATATGGATAAGCCATCCTGCAAATGTCAAGTGCGTTTGATGGTTTTGCAGTCAAGAACCAAACCACCAATTATGACGAGGCAAAAAACCAACTCAAATCTGAACCACATTTATAGCAAAAAACGACCTATCAAACAGATGAAGCAAAAAAACGACTAATTCTTGTTGCTCCCTAAGGTAGTCGCTTTAGAAATAATTACCCACTTCAACAAGCTTGTTGATGAGTGGTTTTTGTCGAGTTCGGATAGGTATTGAGACAACGTCTATACTTCATGTTCTCATGTTCATTCTTAACTTGTCATCTACACAATTCTGTATGTCCTATACTTCTAGGACACTCTAGGACTTGTATTATCCAGCTGACTTATACTTTTTTTTAAAGTACATAATATTTATATATGGCAAATACTCATGTACACTCCTCACCTCTTTGGTGAGGTTTAAACCCTTGACCTCCTAACTCGGGTTACCGCTGGGCCAATGACCTTTAAGTTACTTATTCTCGAGTCTTGGCCGTCAAGTAGTACACAAAAATCTTCTTGAACATGTGTGATGAATAAACTCCTAAATCTAACACATGGCCTACCCATTGTACCCTACAACAAAACTCTTACAAAGCTAACTCCAGAAAAAGGTTAAGTTACCTTAATGCACCCATAATTGGATATTGTGTTCCTGCATAATAGAGAAGCCGGAACTGGTAGCACATTTCGAAAGATGCAGCATACTCCAGTCTTTTTTCTCGGCCCATCGTCTAATCAATGAACACTAACTTAGAAATTTGCCATAAGAATTGGACTAATGTGCCACGAAAAGCTCATAGGATCCTTGAACTTACTTGCATAATACCACTTGAAGCTGGCAAATCCTAATCATCAAAAGTTTTAGATGTTAGTGCCATTTTGTAAACAAGTTATATCATGAAGAACGATTTTGGTCTAACTGAGATGGCCCCAAATCAAGATATAAGACAGAATTACAATATATAGCAAAAAGAAGAAGGGATTGACATTGGACAAAAGTACTTGATTTTTCGATGCAAACAAATCATCTTTCATGCAAAATGCAAAAGAAAACAATAGAAGTTGCAAGAATGAGTAATTTTGGACAAAAGGTGCCTAGTACAACGGTTTTTTGCATTTAGATTTCCAAAACCTACTTTTATTGCAAACTATAGTGTCTTTGATCTTTTTGCGAAGGAGATGGTTAGCTTGAAGCGAAAAACCAAATACGATGGTTAAAAAAGCCGATCAAGAAAGGTTGCATCTAAGATGCCACTAAGGACCTGCCAATTAGGGGTGCTGAAGTGTGTTCTGATTAATTGGAGATCATAATCCCAAATCGAAGAGAAACCACTGTTCAGGTATGTATAGAAAAAGAAGATAAATCCATGTTCAAATACTCAAAGAGACTTAAGGGACAAACCTTAAGCCTTGGATTGATAAGAATGACTGGACGACTGCCAGCAGCATCAGTCATTGCTCTTAGATCCTGCATTATCCAACATGATGAATGAAATGTTTATACCCTCTCAAATAGTGGTGTTGTATGCGGGTATATTAGATATTTGATCTCGGGTTTTTACATCAATGATGCAATTTCCCATAGCATTTTGAGGAGCCACTAAAATGAAGATGTCATCGACTTCATCAACCTCTTTGCCACCTGCAGAACACCGAAAAACATATAGATCCTCAGCATAATAATACACTCACTTTTATGCACACACACCATCTTTTTGAAATTCAATAGTAACTAGAGAGACATCTAGATTTGTGATTATTTGGCAATGCAGTACCTATAGCCCCAAGGTTTATGAAGGTCCCCATTGCACCATCATTCCCCCAGTCCATGTATTCCAGAATCTGTCGTGTTCCTGCAAGCTGTAAAGGCATTCCTGCAAGTGCTCCTTCGCCCATGGATCCTTGCACACAGACCTGCAAGATTAAGCCTGCTTGAATAATGCAATAAAACAAAATAACCATGAGCGATGAAGCTTCAGTAGTTGAGCAATTGTGCCGTTCCATACTGGGTGCAAATTGTGTATGGGTCACAGTGAGGACCTTAATCAAATTAGATTAACTTAAAGCCAGCTTAGCTATTGGCTTATCTCCAATTTGGATCGGTTGCAGCTCATAGAACTTGGCTGCAGGTTGTATCTTGGATCTATTAGAGGGATGTTTACTTTTTGTCGTCTTAAACACTGGTTTCAAAACTCCCAACTTTCAAGACAACTTTCGGCATTGTCTTTTCTACTTCTTACCTCTTTATTATTTTCTTCTTTGCAAACACTTGGCTTGGTTGCTTGTTTTTGTTGTATGCTTCCTTTTCCACCCTAACTCCTTTTTGTTTCTTTTTCAACTTTTATTAATATATGTAGCCTTGTTGTGCAAGTGTTTGTAGGATAAGACATCCTCGGAGAGTTCAATCAGCACGTGCTTACACGGACTATTTTGGCAAGAGTTTAAATATTTTGATGATGAACCTTCAAGAATTTCTTTTCCTAATTTAGGTAACATATATGTGACTATCTGAATGTGTTGTGTGCATAAAATATGCAAGTATTTTTAAAAATTGTCAAATAACCAACACACTTGCTTCTTTTGTGTTATATTAATCAGACCATGATAAGCATTACCTTGACACGCTTTCCATCATCAGCAAATGATAGAGCAAGAACTCGAACAAGTTCCATCAAAGTACCTATCCGATATACATCCTGTGCATAAATATATTGTTAACTCTAATAAAAATCAGTAACTGAGAAAGGAAATGTTCCTCACTGTCTCGGGGTTCAGCTCTGGAATATTGATCTCCACCTGCCAAATGGAAATTTCTGTTTATCTCAGTCCACCCATGAACAAAGACTGTTACAAAACAACAGCAACAAGCCGCGTATCCCAAATTGATTGAAGTGGTAATATCTACATCCAACATTTTCCTATTCATTACTCAAGTGATGTTTAACACATAAGATGATGAAGAGAAGCTATACGGAAGATCGGCAATTCATATTATCTTGAAGAACACACATGCCTTGTATGAAGTCATCAAGAAATTGTTTTCATCAAAAGATTCAAGCTTTTAAGGAAGAAAAACACAAAGATAGAACTGAAATCAACCAACAAAATTGAACAGAAGAATGAATTGGAAACAACGATGATAAAGCATATACATGCATTCAGTCTCAGTAGAAACCTGACCTTTACTCGAGTTTTTCCATCATTTATAGCTCTTTGGGTAGCTTGAAGCACATCATCATAAAAGTATTCCCTAATTTCTCTGGAATGAGGGATGTTGTTTAAGTTGGTGGGAATCCCTCTCCAGTTTTCCTGTAAAAGGACAAGATAGCAACAAATTTGAATAAAATATACCAACATACAAGTTATATTACAGTATGGTCCCTTCTAAGCTCTTATACTGCCATTCACCATGCACCTAAACTAGCCCGGGTTTTTTCGCATAACAAGACAACTATGGTACCAATTTCAATAGGAAACTTATGACTGAAACAACTAGTTGCAATGCATTACGGCGTACCTTGACTGAAGGTGACTTGTTGAACTGGCTGTCAAGTTTACTAGCATTTCCTGGTTTAGAAAGAGATGAATGTTGTTTAAAAATAAATCATATGATTTGTTATAACCTAAACATGTTTTCAGCATCTGATGTGCACCACTACCCTTCCAATTCTCTATATTGCATGGTATCATTCACATCATTGCTTAAAAGAATACAAGTTTGACGAAGAATAAAAGTCGAGTGCCACTAAAAACACATTTAGACTTTAATTAGGTCATCTTGACTATGGTGTATATGCACATTTGAGACAGGCATCAGTGATGCTAATGGCATTGACTATTTGCTTAAATAGAGCATGAAAGGCCATATTGCTAGATAGAAAATGAGAACAGGGGCAGACCAGAAGTGTCCAAAGCCTAGGGCATACTACTTATGAAATTATTTATACAGGTGGTTGTTTTTGTGAAACTATTAAGTTATGTGGTAATTTTTAGATATCGTGTACAGACCACGTTACAATTACGACACTAAAAACTGAATGGCACTAATTTGTAAGAGGCTAGAAAGTTTCTAGCTCCTCAATTTAAAAAGCTTGAGATCAGACAGGTTGAAAATCTTCACAAACACGAAGCATCACTCTGCCCCTGCTCTGTCCACAGCCGCCTTCTCATCGACTCATTGTGAATTGTGAACCATTGTCCGGGTCTTGCTCATTTTTTCTTTGTGAGTTTGTGCCACAGCACATACAACACACTATTGACTAGTGACTTATGAGTAAGTAATTTTAATTTTTAAAAGGCTAACTTTCATCTTTATCTATTTTTTAATTTTCGACTTCTTTTTGAAAATTTATAGTTACCATATCTATTTTAATGCTTATGTTCATTAGAGGATTATTTTAATTTGATTGATTAAGCAAATGTCAAAACAAAATATTTGCTCACCAAAAGCCATGAATATATAATAATTGCTTGTGGTGAAGGTGAGAGCGGAGAAGGTCTTGAACCAAGAAATACGTCTAAACCTTGGGGGAAACATGAGGTTCTTTACATATAATTGTAAGTGTGCTGAACTTGCTCTCTCCAACTGAAAATTTGATTGAGAAAATGTGACAAACAATGAAGAATCAAGACTTGAGGCAAGGTCTATTCTATATGTGATTGAAGATCCGGAGCTTGTTTCTATGTTATTACTTGATGCACTTAATATCGAGGATGGCTTATTCTTTGAGTCATCACCACATAGAGAGAGAGAGAGAAGAGAGAGATCTTGCAAATGCAACGAATTCAATGAATATCGTAAATAAACAAGAACAAGAAAACTAGAGGTTTAAAGTTTGACGAATTAGTTGAAGCAACTATCGACTTTGCAAGAAGCATAAGATTGGCGTTTCGAACATGGAGGATGGGTACTCTCTAAAAGCACGAGAAACCATTCATGTGCTATATACTACTTTGAATTATCAAATATGGTTATAGATTGTCAACTAAATGTGTTGCATGGATCATTTTGATAATGTTAATTCAAAGTTGATAGGTGTTTGAGTTGTCTTGATCCATGTTATCTTTTGCTGTCTTCAACAAGCAAACTTTCTTGAGGAGGTTAAATTCTATCCTTAATTCAGATCTCCCCTTCCTCAATTCAAGTCTTACAACTTTTATTTTGATGCAAGGCATGACAGATTTTTCCAGTGGTTTATTTGTTGGTAAAGTAGGCATGGATTCTATATGTTGACACCACTAGTCAAAAGAGTGCTTTCCACCATAACATGTGTTAAAAGATCCATTCCAAAATCAAATAGGAGAAGAATCACATGGAAACTTTCATCAAATATGATGTATTTGCTTCCATGTACGATGATCCTATTATGCAACCTTTTCGAGCAACATAGGAGCAAAGAGGCATCGATTCACTCTAATGTGACAGTAACATGCAAGTTAATGCATTTTTTCTCTCCTAAAAGTTTCATTCTCTTAGAAAGAATGTGATAATGGTGATAACTGGTGATTGCCATAGATTCACTCTTATGTGATAATGGTGAAAACTTGCCTGACTTTCTTGTCTCCTTTTCTTTCTGAACTTGCAAAAGCAAAGAGCATATTTCACCAAAAATTACATCTTTGGAACGGTTGCCATCGATCTGTAACAAAACACACGTCACCACCACCCAAAAAGAATAAATGAAGAATCACTAGTTAGATTGATGTGAAAATAGAAACGTAGATACCTTCTTCAAAAGGTCTGAATATGTGGATAATATTGCTTCCACATTCTGCTTATAAATTTGCAAACGTGCTTTGACCTAGAAGAGAAACATTAGGTGCCAACACAAGGAAAGCTTAATGCCATTGGGTGTTAACTGTTAACTCATCAGCTGCTCCAAAAGCTTAACCTAAGAGTCGACCTACAACAAATCAGATAACCCAATGAATTTTACCTTTTCTTCTGTGTCATCAGGTCGAGTGATGAGTCTTGCTTTGATTTCCTCAGTTTGTGGAGGAAAGTTCTTTATATGGTAAATCTTCCCTGTTTCAGGGTCCAGCCTTCTACCCACACATCTGTCGATTAGAATTTCATCAGGAACCTGTGTGTAAGGGCAAAATCTCAATCCCATGAGTTGGCTTATATAAATTGTATAGTATGGTTGAATCTGAGATATCTTCCACATAAATGATCAATGTTTCAGAATTTAAAAAACAAAATACAAACCTATTAAACAAATTTCCAAAATAAAAGAGAATGGATGTTTCTTGCTACTCCTCTGCCTCTGAACAAGTCTTTTTATCTTTCTGTTCGAACGTTTCCTAGTCGATTTCCTTCTTGTGTTATCATTTCTCAATCTGAAAGAGTGATCCTTGGGTAGTAATACTCTTTGATTTTGGAGGTAAATTTCTAGACAACATTTGGGACTTGAATTCATGACATTCGGTTCATAAGGAGTAGCCTAACCAGCTGTTCAAGGGCTCACACCTCTTCCCCAATGTAAAAACTTAAATAATAAATACTACTTGTTTCTAACTTATGTTGTAGTCATCAATAAGAATTGCAATTAGAGCCTACACAGGGGCGATGCCAAGCTAATCGAACCACACTCTTAACCGTGGTCGCATAGAAAGCAAACAACCAATGGACAATTTCAAAACATCCATATGAATGATACAAACAAAACAATGATGAACTATTTGTGGCTGTATATTTGAACAAAACCTTTTCTAGATTGTGCAGATACCTGCTGCAGAGTGACCAACTACATTGCAAGAGCATAACCACACTCTCAAGCAAAAAGAGAATCAATATATCTATATATACATTATACATGTCATTATACTGACTTACATCTAGAGCAACAAACACATCTGGTCTGATCTTCATCTTCTCCAGTGATTGTGCTTGTGCAAAACTGCGTGGAAAACCATCTAAAAGCCATCCTTTCTCTTTTGCATCTTCTCGTGAAAGGCGCCCAATTACCATCTGTAAAATGAAGTTATCATTTCTCTGCTTTGAAAAGAGAGCGAAAGCAATTTAAGTTACTAAGTTATATTATACAGCTGTGACAACTTCATCTGGAACAAGCCGTCCTGAATTCATGTACTCTTTTGCTTGGTTTCCAATCTCTGAACCTGCTGCTACTTCACTTCTAAGTAGATCTCCAGTTGATATATGCACTAATCCAAACTGAAGAAAAAGTTAGAATTGGTTAACCAACAATACCATCATTAGAGAAATAAACAAACATAAAAAGGAACTCTAAACAAATACTTTATCCAAAAAACATTGAATGAAACCACAAAATTTACAAAGAACCAAAAAGTTTATATATAATACCATTCAAGAAATATTGAAGCCACACATATGCACATATATTCTGACCACTTGTGTGGTTATTTGATAATACACATTTAATAACCAAATAAAGCAGTGGTCTAACCCAAAGAAGTGCTCTTGCTAGCTGGTAGCTTGCTTTCAGGTTTGACGTAAGTTAGAGCTTACATGTTTGAGAAATTTGTAGTAGAGGGTAAACCTTATAATAACAACCGTGTTGGTATTAAACTAATAACAAAAAGTCCATAGTACTTGATTTGACACGAAAAGTAAAAGTGCAACTCTCTTTCGGTCATACTATGCAGTGCACATATATGAGGCAGCCAACCTACCAAAGTCATAAGTTGTGATATGTTTTGCATATTGAATGCCTATTGCACTCCTATAGATCATTCACCATTGCATATAGCTTACCTTGATACATACTACAACCACAAGAAAGTAGACATTGGAATGGTCGGGACATTTTCATGAGTTTCCTAGTGTGTGTCCAGGGGTTGTGTGTCACCAACATATGGATTATGTAGCATTTTCATGTTTCATATTTCATATGCTGACAATTGCTCGGTCGGTACTGATTACAGAATATTTTAACTCACCTTTTGAACAATCATCTCACACTGAGTCCCTTTGCCTGATGCTGGTGCCCCTGATATCATAACCTTCAATGGATCATTTTGTGAGCACCTCACCTTCAGTCCCTATTGTAAAAGAGCGAGAGAGAAAGTTACACACTTCTAGAATCAGTGGGATTTTTAGACCATTACCATATGTTGATCACAAGTATACAATGTGGATTAAACTTATTCACTTCGGTACCAAAGAGAGGTACAGTTAGACATTTACCATCCAAGGGATGAACTTCCAACTTCAAAATTGATGGTCTTCTTTTTTTCAATTTTTGGGAAAAATTTCTGATAGACATCATTGAATTTCTTATCATATACTTAAAGTAGAAAAAACGTTATGTAAGTATCTAATCCTTTTCATAAGATGGGGATTTGATTTATTTTTCCTCCAACACATGTTGATAACATAACTCATGACATCAATGTTCCCCACATAGGCATTTTCACAAACATCTGATATGGGTATTCACAAATCACCAAGGCACCCAGAGTTTCAAACAGTTGGTATAAGAAATCAAGAAAAATAGAATTCCCACAAAAAAGGAGTCATCATCAGCCTATAATACCGTGGACGATTTCCATATTTCCATACCCCAACAGCAAAAAGAAGTAATTTCCAAAAGAACAGATAAACATTGGGGAAATCAAAGACTAACCTTGGTTCTTGGGGAGATATTGAAATGGGCATGCTTATAACCATTAATTGAAGGAAGGTTTTGCTGATATTGAGAAGTAAGAGAAGAATGTGATGATACAGAAAAAGATGAAGGGTGGAGAGTGTAACCGGAAGAGAGAGGAGGTGACGCGAATCGGGTATTTTGACAATTGAATGAAGGAGTTGCAGGGTAGTTCAACATGATGAGCAAGGAAAGCAGCTTCTGTTCTTGCTCTGCGATCAAGAGGACACTGGAGGAAGTTAACAGACAAACGGTCACCACAAATTCTTGAATATGAAAAGATTGTGTCGTAATGTCTATTTCCACTTACAAGTTTCACCCAAATAAAGACTTCTGCAGCCAGGACGGGCGTTTCGAAAAATAATTTATCGACTAATTTTGTTGTGGTATCGGTAATAAGCATTTTTGAGAGTTAAAATAAAGAACTTATATCGGTGTCAAATCGATAATAAAAAGTTTTTGAAGAAGTTAAACATTTCTGACTTATAATAAGTTAATAAGTACTTTTGTAAAAAAATATAAATTGTTTCAAATAAGTAATCCCAAACACCCTTAACTTGCAAATTTCACCCGGTAGTAAGGATTTTTCAATGTATGAATGGAAAAAATATTTATTATCAGTTTCACATTGATATAATGAGTTTTTGATAAGTTATTCTATTTTAACGTATTAATTTATTCTGATGTGATACTGGCATTAAGAAATTTCCAATGTTTAGAAAAAAAAATATTTATTACCTTATTACGTTTTGATACTGTCATAAGCTAATTCAGACACTTTTTATAATCTTCGATTTAACACCATATAAGTTGATAAACACTTTTACAAAAAAAATAAATAATAATAAGTTGTTTAAATAAGGAATCCTCAATGCCCCCAAGATAGAGATTGTGTCCGTAAGGCATTTTTCGCAATTATAAATAAACTTCGTATAAATTTGAATAGACATAAACTAGTTTATTGAAAAATTAATTGTAGTAATATTTTGAAAGTTTTTTTTGACATTTTCTTCAATTACAATTATTATTAATAAATAAAAATTAATTAATATAATATCAATTTATATTTCATTTAATTTCTATTTATTAATTAACTTTAATTATAAGTTATTCATTACTATTAATTATTGATCATTTAGAGGTATTCTTGATTTTGTTAATTATCATTCAATATATTTAGTGTTAAAAAATAAAAATAACAATTTTAAGAATATTTTTATAAATTACATAAAAGTTTTATATATTTTTTTTGTTTCATTAATAATAAAATATTTAATTTATTATTGTTTTTTGAGAAAATGTTAATTAGCTAAGATAAATAAAGTTGACCTACTTTGTTTTGATTTATATTATATGTAATGGTTATTTATGTAGGCATTTTTAAATAATTTATTTAGTTATAAAAATCCATATTTTTTAATATTACATATAATAATAATAATAAATCAAATTAAAATATATTAATTAACGTATATTTTTATTTAATTTTCTTTAACATCTGTTTTGTATTAATTAACATATTATGAAATATTAAAATTTATTAATTTTTAAACATGTTATTTTTTTTCGTTTTACATTTTTCAACTAACTTATCAACTAGTTTTTATTAAACGTATTTAGTTCATCAACTACCTTATTAGTTATCAACTAGCTTATCAGTCACAGGCTAACTTATTAGCTAGTTTGCCAAACATAGCCTAACTCTAACAGGTTCCAACAAGTATACTACCTCAAAATGAATTGTGTTACGTTTTTATTTTAGGAAGAGTGAACTACATATTTGGTTTATGTGATTTGTCGAAAGTAATATTTTTCGTCTTACGGTTTAAAGTTATAAGATAACCATTGTGGTTTACAAAAATGTTCGGATCTGATCCCTTTCTCTAACGGTCATTAAAAGATTTTGTTAAGTGAGGGGCATTTTCATTCTTTTATCATTTTTTTTTCTCTTTTATCCAATCAAAATCGATTTTATGATTTTGGTCAATGTGGTTTTTGATTGGTTAAAAAAACATATAAGATGACGAAAACGCCCTTCATTTAATGAAATTTTTAACAGACGTTAGAAGAAGAGATCGAATCCTAACTTTTTTACAAACCACGATGGTCATCTTGTAATTTTGAAACTACAAAGATGAAAAGTGTTAACTTTGACAAACCACATGGACGAAATTTATCGTTTACTCTTCTAGGAACAATATCAATTTGTATTGAAAAAGTGATTTTTAAAACTTTCAAAGATTCTTGATTAACTTGACAGTCTGGGATAACGTGTGTCCGTCTATCCTGCACCGAAGGAGGCGTGTTGGAATTTTATGTTGGTTTAATTTGAACCATTTATTCTCTATATATGCTAAAATCTCCATTTCTCAAGCGCCCTTTTGAAGAGTAATATGCAGTTCTACATAGTCTCAAACTATATAAGAGTTGAGGTCTACCAATCTTAGAAGTTAACACTCTCTTGGCAATCTGTACTCGTCTAACCTCTCTCGACACCCTAGGACCGTTTATTCCCATCTAGCATGCGTTGCAGGGGGCGTGTTGGTCCTGTTGGAGTCTCATATCGGCTGGATTTTGACCATTTCTTTTATATATTTGCTGGAACACCAT